CCAAGCTGTCTGACAATGTAGCTCTTCTACATTTTTGGAAGCAAAAAATGCTCCAGCTGCCTGACACCGAAAATAACGGTGATTCACAAAATCTTGCCTTTTAATTTGCCAAGCACTGAACATGTGCTTTCTTACAAAGATGATGACTCAGGTTTTCTCTGGTTTATTTTGAAAACGGAGCAATCGGGAAACAAAGCGTGGCCTCAGCAGCAAAATACTGCTTTTGTAAAAGTTAAAAAAAAAAAAAAAAGCAGCAGTCGAGTGAGTAACGGCAAATACCTGGGGGGGGGGGGGAAAGTGGGAGCGTACTTGGGAAATACGCTTTCGATTGGCACCACAGAGCTTTGCAAGGGGGCTGGCTTGATGCTGCCTTCACATTTCACAACGTTTTGGTAGTAGCTGGTGCTTTGATATCCGCAACTACTACTAACATTTCATAATATGACAATCTAAGAGGTGAAATAGCTTTTGTATTTTAAAATTCATTAAGAACAGCTGCAACTTAGCGCTGATGGATACATCCTCACTTTACTAAATCAATGTCTCCTTTGTTGAGTTATATGAAGCCGTTTGCCATGCCAAGAGAGGCTAAAAAAAAAAAAGAAAAAAAAGGTAAAATAAAGGAGATTTAAAATCTGTTGAGTACATTATATGTCAGCATTAGCTGTCCCTAATATGAAGAAGTAATGAAACAACTAGAAATATCACAAGTGAAAGAGTAAAATAAAAATAGAATTAGCATTTGAAGTGACAGTTCTGAAATGCTAGAAAAGCTTATCTCAAAACTGCATGTTTCTAGGTGGGAGAAGGATTTCTAGGACATGCTTTTTCCCTAACTGAATTTTCCAAGAGTCCCAAGTGTTATTTGCCTTCTAGTTCTGTAGTGTCAATGTGGATTTCTCATACTAATTTCCACATAGCCTGCCTCTACAGTGAAAACATCTTGTGTTTAGAAAACATATTAAGACATTTTAAGAACATGTTTATTACATTTAAACTAAAAGTGTACGTGGAGAAAAAGTTATTTTCTTAAAAAGATGCCAGGTGGTCAGCCTTAGGGTTAACCCACGGAAGCTTGTTTTAAACCATGTTTTTTAAAAAATCTTTTTTAGATGCCTATACTGAATCCTGAGAAGCAACATGCCCAGTGGATTTTCTTTTTTGTTTTTTGGGGAGTATTTTAGTTTAGTTTGTAGTGAAGCCTCATGATGAAACACCTACCAAGACACACCAAGCCATGAACGTTTAGGTGGCTGTAAGTGAAATAACCACTTAGAGAGGCTACAGGAGTACTAAACTGTGTTAGTCTAAAGGAGACTTAGGCTGTGGAAAGCTTTAGCACAATAGCTAGATTGTCAAAGAACACAATTCTAGCAAGCTCTCTACTTACCAGGAGCAAGGCTAAGGGGAAGAATACCTTAAAAAAGAAGTAAGGAAAGACCTGAAACTATTTGCTAATGTGGTAACGAGAACTACCTTCATCATAAACCAACTAATTCCTGGAGAAGGTTTTTTGGTTTTGTTTTTTAACCTGGGATGCTATTTCTGTGGCATATGAACTGATCTTCAAGTATGCACAAGGAAAGATAATCCTTAGTGAGGCCAGTCTATTATTAGTGTTTTGTGGGTGTTACATCTTCTTTACTCACAGCAGTAATAAAATATTCTCCAAATGTGGACAGGACCTATATGAGAATCAGCCTCAAATCTTGAGTCCTAGGGGAGAATGCAGAATGCTGTCTATGCCTGCACAGAGCTCTCATCAGAATAAACCTCTGATTAGTGATGTGGAGGGTGGAGTGGATGTAAATTTAATGTTATATGCCAACTCACATTAGACAACCTTGTGCAACTCTGGCAGTTATGGAATGCAGTTTGATTACCTTATCTAACTTGAGAGCTTGAACAATAGGATTTAAACTTCTGGAATACAACTGACTAGGCTAAATGTTATTTTTAGGAATGTAGACAGATAGATAAGTTAACATGTGTGTGATTAACTTACATATATACATATAGGTCATACAGGTGTATATATACCTTCTGTGTGTATCTTCCCAATTATAGGCAACTGCAGCACTCTAAACACCTCACTTGCTACTCTCTGAATTCCCCTTGGCTGCTGAGGTGCTTCCAGTTGATGTGCGTAATATGGATGCTCCGTATACATTTTTCCCCTCCAACCTAACTGTGAGTTCTTTATGTCCTTTATACTTACTATTAGTATACTGGGCAGCATATTCTTCTCCAAGTCTGTCAACATAGTTCACCTCCTGTAATCAGAAAATGGTGATTAAATGAACATCCAAGTACAGAAGCTGTCAACCTGGTGTTCATCTTTTTTTAAAGTTAAAAAATATTCAACTACTGTTTGCACTCATATGGCTCTGAAAAGGTCTTAAAAAAGGGGGCTTCATCTCTTCTACAATCTTTAGACAGAATCAAGATCAAAGGTAAATGTCAATCATGTAACTTTTAGCATTTATGGGAGCAATAAAGGAAAAAACAATCTCTCTAGAAAAGGTGTATGCTGCAAGCCCTGCAGTTCTCTGTATTCTAGCGTAGGTTGTAATAGCCCCTAAAAGGACCCTGTCTGGGGCATTTAGATCTTAACTGCAAGGTCTTGTTCCTTTTAGCTATCTGTTTCAGCATCTGGTCCATCTCATGGGAAGGTCTCTGAGATTCTGTTTCAGAATTGGGTTGCAGATAGAGTAGGGCGGGGAAAAAACCCACCTTATTTATATCCTCTTTACATGCATAGGAAAACAAAATTTCCAGAATTTTACATATCTGCCATTGACCTAACAGAGAATATAACCCGCTCCCAAACTACAGAGTGAGCACAACTTCTGTAGTGTGTGCAACAACTTTGACCTCCACGTAATTACTCCAGGCTTACATCAATGTAACTGTGCTGGGTTTCTCTTCAATTATTTCCCGGGAGTGGCAGACTCTCTTCCCGCATTGCTTATTTATTTCAAACTGGCCTAAGTTGCTCAACAGCTTGGGCATCCCTTCTTTGGGATCCCACGTTTCTCCGAACGGAGAGAGCCGAGGCTGCCCCGGACGCCCCGTCCGTGGCCGTCGGTCTCGGCCACGGCGCTCGGCGCTGCCCAGCACCAGCAGACACCGAGCCCCCCCAGAGGTAACTACCACGGCTGGGGCCCGGCGCTGAACAATTGCCTACGGATGAGTAAGCAGCAAATGTGGTAACTCAGGCCAGCAGCTCTACAATTAGGGCTATAATTTCAGGTGTAGCCAGCAGTCGTAATGAATATTTATTTAAACGTACCAAATAAAAGAAATCGCCCGGCTAAGTGGCATGGGGAGCTCTGCGGGGTAGTTTGGTTTGGGTAATGAGGGTGCTACCGGCAGAGAGCCGCTTCGTCCCCTCCTGTCGCGTCCCGAGTGGGACAGGCTCCCTCTCCCCGCGGTGCGCGGCCGTAGGCTTATGCCCTCATTCCTGCCCGAGCCCAGCCCGGCCAAGGACCCTTCGCCGTGGAAGGAAGGGTAAGGCAGTGTGCAGCACAGCCGAGTGCCCCGGGGGAGAGCCGGGCGGCGTACGGAGCGCCCCGCCGGCGCGCACGGGGCGGGGGGCGCGACCGGCGGGGGCAAGAGCTGAGACCAGAGTTTCCGCCGCCCCCCCCCCCTTCCCGCGCTGGCCTGCTTCGGGGCTCCCTCTGCCAAAGCCCCGCAAAGTGGCCTTATTGGGTCAGGGAGCACACGCGGCGCGGTTGCGGGAACCCCTTCGGGGTTTGCCCCGTCGCTGAGGAGGGGCAGCTGAGGCAGAGGCCAGGAGCGTCGGGAGCAGCGGCGGCACGGGGGGGGGGCGAGAGCCCTCCGGTTGCCCTTATGGTCGGCAGCCCCAGAGAGTGAGAGGGCGGCCCGGAGCGCCCGTCAGCCCCCGAGTCCTTATTTCTCCCTCTCCGCAGCCAACCTCGCCGGCGCTCCCGCAAGCCAAGCGAGCGCCGCGACTACTAACTGGCTCTTCCCGGGCGGACTCCAAGCCGCACGGATGCAAAGCCCCGAGCGTCCGCCTCCTCCCGAGCCCCTCGACCGAAATCCAGGCGCCCGACTAAAGGTGCGAGGTTGGCGGCAGGCGATGCCGCGGCGTACGACAGGCGGGGAACGGGGCCGGGTCCTCCGCCCGCTCCCCGGCAGCATCCTATCGAGGTCTGAGCCGTGCTGCGGACAAGCACAGTCTGAGTCTTTTGGGTGTTTGGTATTTTTGTTTGTTTTGTTTCGTTTCTCCGGTTTGGTTTTTTTTTTTGTTTTTTTTTTTTTGTTTTGTTTTATTTTTTGGTTGGTTTTTTTTGGGGGGGGTCTATTTTGTTTTTAAGTTACTGTGGAATGAGGAGGTGCGAGGCGTCGCAGCTGCTCGGTGGCGGTCCATCCCTGATGAAAGAGCCGCTCCGCACACGGAGCGCTTTCTATTTCGGGAATGGGGAGGTGGGACGGGCGCCGGGTGGTGGCGGAGGACCTCAGCCAGGGCCGCACAATGCCCGGAGGCTCCACCGCCGCCCGTGGGAGCGCTGCTCGCGGGACGGAACCCGAGGTGAGCGGCGGGGCTGCGGTAAGTACCGCTCCCTTCCCCGCGTACCCCCGTAGCGCGTCTCAGCCTCCTCCCCCTCATGCCAACCCCTCCCGCCTCCCCCGCCGCCGCCACTGGAGCGCGGCCCCTTTAAAGAGCCCCGGCTTTGCCTCCGGTAAAGCTGAAGGTCATTAAAACACAAAAAGCGCTCCAGCGCTGCGGTCCAATATAGCGCAATGCGCCCTTGCCCGAGGACTGGCAGGGAGACGGCAATATGGCGAGAATGCCTGCAGTCGGGCGGGCGGGCGGCGGAGAGTGAGCGGCGGCGGCGGAGGGGGCGGCGCGGGCGCGGCGGAGGCGGCGGGAACAATGCGGGGGACCGGCCCCGTCCGGCAGCGGCGGTTCGCCCCCCGCCCGCGACCGCTACTGCAGCGCCGGTGCGAGGAGGAGGAGGGGGCGAGGAGGAAGGATGAGATTCCAGGAGTGCCAGATAACGGGGACGAGGAGGAGGACAGGACGGAGCCGATGGGGGGCTGGCTGCTGGACGAGGAGGAGGAGGAAGAGGAGAATGGGTCCTGGGTGGGACGGCGAGGAGGAGACGGAGCCGCTGCCGCGGCCGCCCGGGCTCGTCCGCCGGGCGGCGGCAAGCAGCGGCGGGTCGACGGGCTGCCCCGGGGGGCGCGCGGCCGGCTGCCCCGGGGGCGGCGGCGGCGGTGGCCCCGGGGGCGGCGGCAGGACGCGGAGCTGGAAGGCGGCTGCTACTGCTGCAGGGCCGGAGCGGGCCGCGGCTGAGCGAGACACCCACACGCGGCTGGCCACCCGCTACGCCGTGCGCATCTTCCGCGAGTACCTGAGCGAGAAGGCGCAGAGCCCCGACTTCGAGACGATGGACAAGGGGGCGCTCTGCCGGGTCCTGCGCTCCTTCTACGCCGAGGCGCGCTCCAAGAGCGGGCAGCTCTACTCCAAGTCCTCCCTCATCAGCATCCGCAGCTCCCTCAACCGCTACCTCAACGAGCCGCCCTACTGCCGCACCCTCGACCTCACCAAGGACCCCGAGCTCCGCGCCGCCAACCTCACCCTGGCTGCTGTCATCCGCAAGCTGGAGGAGCAGGGCGCCGGGCCGGTGGTGCAGAAGCAGGCCATCACCCGCGCCGACCTCCGCAAGCTCTACACGTGCAGCGTCTTCAGCACCCAGAGCCCCTTCGGGCTCCTCAACAAGGTCTGGTTTGAGACCTGCATGTACTTCTGCACCCGGGGCCGGGAGAACCAGCGGGAGCTGGAGGAGGACTCCTTTGGGCTGGCTGTGGATGAGGACGGACGCAAGTTCGTCTACTTCAAGGCGCTGGGGCCCTACCACAAGTCACGCTCATCCTCATGGAGCAAGAAGCGGGCAGAGAGCAGCGATGAGGAGAACCTGCCCCGCATGTATGAGACTGGCACAGAGTTCTGCCCCTATGCCAGCTTTGTCAAGTACCTCTCCAAACGCAACCCCCTCTGCAAGGCCTTCTTCCAGCGCCCACGGGACCACTGCAGTGAGGGTGACATAACCTGGTACGAGAACAAGGCCATTGGGAAGAACCTCCTGGGTACCCGCATGCAGATGCTCTCCAAGGCGGCCAAGCTTTCCAAGACCTACACCAACCACTGCATTGGTGCCGTCTCCATTGCCACTCTCAACAGTATTGCTGGCATTGGCACCAAGCTGGGAGGACTGCAGCCACCCCACCACCACCCCTCTCCCCACCACCACCACCTCCTCCACCCCGCTGGCGGGGGCTGCTACACCCCTTCTGCCCTCAATGGTGGACCACGGCCCCGGCCGCCCACTGCCAACCCTTACGTGCTGCCCAAAGATGGTGATGCTGCGCCAGTGAAAGCAGAAGCGGCCGCGGTGGCCCCGGCCAAGCGGGCGCTCTACGAGGCGGTGTTCCCAGCGGGGGCTGCGGCCGGCGGTGACGCATGCGGGCCCTCTGCCTCCCCCAAAAGACTCTGCCGCCGCCCCGCTGAGCCCCTGGACGCCACTGCGCCCGCCGTGGTGGTGGTCTCAGTGAAACATGACCCCTTGCCTCACCTCCTCCCCGAAGCAAATGGGCACAGAAGCACCACCTCACCCACAGTAGTTTCACCTGCTATTGTTTCCCCCACACAGGTAATCGGAAAAAGAAAAAAGAAAGGAGAAAAAAAAAAAAGTGGCAACCCTTCACCCTGTCCCACGTAGTCTGCACTGTCCCCCTCCTTTCTTCCCCAAGGCTGGGCACCGATGCACACTGCCAGCCTGGGGTGGCTCCTGGAGCCACACTCACTCGTCAGGCACCCAAAGAGCCCAGATGCGAGTTATCCACCTTGTTTGCCCCTCAATTCCCTCACCCCCCGCCACTGGTCTGGTGGCCACTCACTGCATGCCTGGGAGTCGGGCTTGAGTGGTGCCTGGGTGCTGTCATGCTCTCCCTCGGCGGCAGCACCGACGGCTCAGCCCTGCGGGCTCCCCATTTCCCTCCTTTTTCTTTCTTTCCCTCCCTTTTTTATTTCTCTTTTTGCGGGAGATGTGAGTTCTGAAAGTCGGGTCAGAATAGTAGATAGGGGCATCAGGTATCATTAGTGTGTGTGGTGTTCTTGATGTGCTAATGAACTATTTGAATAACCTCAAATGCAGGAAACAGCCGGGAGAATACTCAATTACACACTAGTAATGAGGGTGTAATTTTAAACTTCAGAAGTTAACAAGAGGGTTAATATGGCAATTGCATTCATCTTGTATTTGTTTATTTAAAATAGCTCTGTTTCCTGGCAGTGATCCTCTTCCTTTTTTTTTTTTCTTTTTTTTTTTTTTAAAGGCAAATTGGCTTTAGTTGCATTAGTTACCATAGTGGCAAAATATACAGTAAGAGCACAATTAAACAGGTTTAGGTGTAGCTTGACTGTGGAACGCACCCAAATTCAATAGGTGTGTTTCACTGAGGTAAAACGGTGTTGTCAAAAACGCTGTTGAGGTGTGCCTTAATGCGTGCCTTGCGGACGCCCCTCTGCTGTGTGCCAGCCCGTGCTCGTGCCTGCCCGCCCCCATCTCCCCCAAAAGTACTTTCCTCTTGGGTGTTTGAGCGCTGGAGCTAAATTACTTCAATTAAAGATTCACTGCACCTCTGCAATTGGCTTGAAGTTTGGAGGTCGTTCTAACTAAATCTACAAAGCGTATGCAGTTACGTTGTGCCCCATAAAATACCGTGTTTCAGGCAAGAACTTTACTGCTGGCTGCCTTACATGATTACAAAACCTCTCTGACATTCTTGTGTCAAGTAATAACAGGGATCGCAGCCGTCAGCCGGAGAGCGTGGTGCTGGGCAAGCACAGGTATATGACATGCCTGAGCTGTTTCCCAAGTGGAAATACCAGTTCTGGACAGACTGACCCTTTCAAAGAGTTTGCCAGCTAATCAACCAGCCTGAAGGCTAATCGGCGTGGGGGGAGGGAGGGGAGAGCAGGGCTTCCAGCGAATGCCTGCATAAGCGTCTGTGTTCTTTAAGATACCTGTGACCTCTCCTTTCTGGCAGGGAGGCTTTTTTTGGACCACTTCAGTGGAGTACTGTAGCTTGATCTCCTGCTGTGTGTATCTGGTGTCTGTGGATGGCTTAGAGGCTTGATAATGTGAAGATAATGTTTTTGTTCTAGCTCATTATTTCAGGTAAAAGCTAATGCTCTTTGCTGTATTTAACCCTAGACTCCTCTTTCCCTTGCTTTTAATGACCTTGAAAGTAATTTTGAAACTTAAGGCATAGTTTAGCTCTTTAGGAGCAGCAGCGCGTGTGCGTATGGGAAGGGGAAGAGGGAACTGGACAGAGCAGTTCTGATGCAGTCAGTCCATGGTTACGGAGCATGCATGTCTAACCTGTTAAATGTCTTGGTGCTTTCAGCCATCAGACTGGAGAACTCAGTCTCCACCCTGGTCCACAAATCTCTTCACACTTGCAATAAAACTTAGGTGAGGAGAAATCCAGCTGCTGTACTGTGTGTTGCAAAGGTGTGCTTCCTTCGTGAAGCATTTGGAGCTGTAATTCTCATTAGCGGCAGGCTATGGGGAGAAAGGGAGAAATAACTAAAATAGACTACACAGGCATCTGCTGTTTTCTTAAGTGTATCAAGAAAGAAAATGAGCAATCGGCAAGGATACTACACAGTGTGGGGATTTTTCAGTAATTACACAGAAATGTTCACCTCCCTTCACAATTACATGAGCTAAACAAGATGCCCAGTCATTTTGGTAGCTGAATCTTGCCTTTGCTACAAAACTCATTAATTTAAATCTTCAGGAGAAAGAAAAGCGTTTCTTTTTATTTTTTTTTCTTTTTAATCACCGATTCTTCTTGTGTCAATTTTAACTTATGCACTTCTGGGATGTGACAAAATGAAAAAATACTGGCTGTGGAATGGATTTCCTTGGGAGAATGTTAATGCTAAACTTTTTCTCTCTAGCTACCTTTTATAATAGTTACACTAATCGAGGTCCAGGGCATTTCCTGGGGGAATTAATGACTGGTTGGGGTTAATGGCCCAAGGCATTGCCTCAAGCCATCGACTCTCCAAACTGGTCATTAATCCCCAGGAAATTCCCTGGCCTTCATCATTATTGCTTAATTATAAACACAGAGTTTCCAGGCCTTTTTACTGAATACATCTCATCAAGTGCTATGACACTAAATTCCACTGTTAACAAATATTTCTGATTCCTTAAAAACATGAAGGTCATAAGCTTGTGGTTTATTGGTTGTCTTTCTAATTAGTCTTACAGGGAACAGATTCTGCTGCACTTATGGACTTGTGCAATACTCCAGTGAAAAAGTGATGGTGTGATATGTAGGTTTCTTAGCATCTTTATACTGCATGCTTATTTTTTGCATTTTTTCAATAGCACTGATAGCAGTAAGCAAGGTATGGAAAAGATTAAACGAAAGCACTCAATGGGATGTCCTCACTTTGCACTAGCTATCTGAGCAAGACTGTTAATTTTATGTTTTTCTCTTGTAGTTGCTCCCATCTTTTGTTTTAGCCCCAAAACGTCTTTTCAACACTGGGTTTGTAGAAGCGTCTTCCAGAGCTCGAGAAAAGTACATTAAATGTTCATCTTAATGCAACTATTGCTTTAGGTTGCAGCTTTGAGAGTAGCATTTATAGTGTATTTTAAGCATGCAGCACTGTGCCATCGTGGCACAACTTTCTTTTCAATCTTTATTTGCTCTAAGTGTAGCAATTTTCCTGCCACTGACAGCAGTACACCAGTTCAAGTTGATGACAGAGGGATGTAATTTGGCTGTTGTTCATCTCTCATGTTGCTGAAAGATGAACAATAGCTAAAGCTTTAACTTTTGATGCTACAGTATGGTGGTAGCTTTGGAGGTTTACAGATCTGGTACATGCTGAACTTACTACAGTAGTAATACCCAAAAATAGGTCAAGGAAAATAGTTTGGCCTCTGCCATGAGGGAGGAGAGTTGCCTGTCACTTTCAAATGCTTTGGTTATGTTGGTTCTCTAACTTGTTTGGTTTTCTCTGGGCTGCCTGTGAAGAGTTTGTCAGTTATTAAGATATCTACCAAACACTGGGTTATTAAAACCTGAGCCATGTGGGTTTCTCTTGGCTGCTTTGGCAAATCCTTAAATGCTTTTTTTCCTCCTTCTTTAAATTCAGAGCTGCCCTTTTTGCTTTCCTTTGATCTGGCACATGTCTTTTTGTTGCCTTACACTCTCTTTGAAGGGCTTACTTTGACCCGAACCAGAACCCTAGTTCTGACTTCTTTGCAAAAGGCAGAACAGTAGCACCTGATGAATATGAGTAGGCAGCAGGCACAACTGGGAACAAATCAAAAGTAGCTGGTAAGTCTAGCTCTTTTTAGTCTTGGTTTTTGGATGTGGATAAGAATCCTTCTGCTTGATCTTTGAGCTGGGAACAACCTGCACTTCTGTTAAATGGCCACAAAAAAGACGTTCTGTACAAATATCTCTAACCAGAATCATCACTAGGTGCTTTCCCAGTATACTGGTCAGGAGAACTCATCAGACGTCTTCAGGGAAGGATGCTTAGGATGGTGGTGTTAGGATGCTAGGCTTTATTTCTGCAAGGGTAATACATGGAGCAATATCCCTATCTTAAGGGCTTAAAGTACAGTAGCTATTAAGACTTATGACTGCTAAATACCTTGTAAGTTCTTGTAGCAGTACTGCTGTTGATCAGGTTTCAGAGGTTAGTGCTGGCTGCCCTACTGCCTACTTAGTGCCCTTCTCTTTGATTAATGGATTATCCCAGGTTGCAAGAAAACCCAGGATTTTCTTGGTGTCTTTTTTTAAGAGAAGTACTGAGCTCAAAATCCTAAAAACATGGGGGTTAAGGGACCTTTAACCTACATTTTAAGAAACTGTAACTACTGAAGGGTACTGTTTGTTACTTTGGTACTTGTGGGTTTTAAGTAAGGAGATTTGCATCTGATACTAAGTTAGAGATGTGGAAAGTGATTAACTGTAGAAGGGACTTGTTATAGTCAATAGTCATCAAAATTGTTCTGAAATCCTTGGGAGGCAGGGGGATGGGGTAGCAGTGGTGTCAAGTATGGTCCCCAAAGATAGCTTTCTTGTCAATCTCCATAGTGAAACATGAATTATGAATCATGGCTATTGCTCTATTTGGTGGAAGTCAGTGCTGTTTGTAACTGAGTGCTTCTAAAGATTGTTGAAGAGAGATAGGGTTTTTCTTTTTAAGAATATATTCTTTTTAAGGATATCCCAGGCTGTGTTCCTCATAACAAACGTGAGACTTGGAAGGCATGTGAATCTTTCCAAAGATGGGTACAAGAAAAGCAGAATAGAGATAAGCTTAATAATATCATATACAGCTTTGGAGGCAGTACCTACACTGAAAGGAGTGAAGGGAACTGGTTTTTCTTTCCTAGGCTGAAGTTGGTCCATTTTGAATCAGCTGTTAGAGAGGGAGTTGATTTAAGGTGACTTGGGAGAGTATTTCAGAGAAGATCCAAGAATGGTGTTTTGATACACACTCTTAGAATTGTGGCTGTGGAGTTCAAAAGTCCACTACTGTCTTTGTAGGTCCTCTTGGTTGCATTGACATGATATGTTGGAGGTAATAAATTGTGTAACTATTTCAGAT